TTTCACTTTGTTGTAATTTTATTTCTTGATCTTTTTCACCAGGTCCTAATGTTGATCAAACCAGTCCTGGTTCATGCAATGTGATCCAGTCTGACTCTTCTACCTACATATTAATAATTTCTTTGCTATAAAATTTAATCACACCTCACAATGGGAAAATGGACAAAAAGAAGAGTTGTTATTCAATTCATGTTAAGTGTAGTGAAAAGATTTATCACTGTCACAATATATACAGAACATGTATGTATAGCTATCACTGTACCTGTCTGGAGCTTCTTCAGCTGCTTCTGATATCTCCTTTGGTCCTAACATTTCTCTCCAACCTTCAACAGCATCCTCCCTAGCCAGGCATAATGCCATCATTGGACCACTGCATCAAAACAAAGTAAATGTATCGACAAGCAGGAACAGCCTTCTTAACTACAGCAACCTAAGACATCTACCACCTCCCTTTATAATCATCCAGCGCTCCAAGCTGCGACCATTTTGGTCGCCATGGCGAGTGAAAAAAAGATTTGGCAATTAAAATTTTGACGAAAGTCGCCAATTGGCGACCAAAAGATTATAAAAGAAACTTACTTGGAAAATTAATTGATGTTTGGTCGAATTATCAGAAGTAAAAACGATGGTATCACCGGTCTTTCTCCTTCTCGCCGTTCTGCTACTCGATACAAATGCGTAAACCCAAAATGAGCATAAACTGGGAAGAAGCCAAACTATACCTCCTGTACCCTGCTGAGGAGCAGAACTTACATCCACCCTGACANCTATACCTCCTGTACCCTGCTGAGGAACAGAACTTACATCCACCCCAACAAAAGCTGGCAGAGACAGTTCTCTGTTGAGACACTTCAGTGACCGCAGACGATTTGCCGCCACGGTTGATCTGTTGGCAGCCAAATCCATGCCTTGTTTCAACTCTCTCGGAGGGATTGAATGCTACAGGATTTTCGATGTGTTTATAATAAAAATAACTTTATTTGAGAGCGTTTCTGTCTTCTTTTGTGTATTTCATATAAGTTTTGGGGCATGGTCTTCTGGAAAAAAAAGTGAGGATGTCTAATTTTCCCATAGGAAAGAAAAATTCAGTGCTGACTCAAAGTGCAGTTGTCACGCATCAATGATTACGTGAATGATGTTTTTAGCCTCTTGAATGAAAGAGATAAAATGAGGCAATCTGAAAGGGTTTTTTCCTTCAACAGTGATTGCTAAAAAAAAATGGCAAAATTGAGCTGTCTTTTTATTTTCGCGAAATATGGGATATAAACAGGATAAACCAAGAAAGGTGGTTTCTTTGGTCACCATTACTGGTCAACGCTGACCCCAGTCACTCATTGC